CATGAGGGTTTGGATTTAAATCCCTGGATCCAAACTCAGCTCTATGGTTTTGAGCCAAACGCAGAATCGAAAGGGTGGGGTCTAGTTTTCCAGATTCATTTAGGCTGCTGCCCAAGGTGTTAGGTATTTGCTTGAGCATGCAGACAGCCTGAAAACAAAACATCCAGCAGGACTTGCTGCACTGGTCTCCTGCAGAAACAAAGGAGCCAGAGGGAACCTAGCACTGTTACTTATGGCCACTATTTAACCCAGGGGTGGGCAAACTATGGCCCGCAGAGCGCAGCGAGGCTAAGGCAGGCTCCCTGCCTGCCTGCCCTGGCCCTGAGCCGCTCCCCAAAGTGGCTGGCACCATGTCCCTGCGGTCCCTGGAGGAGAAGGAAGGCAGAGGGTTCTGCGCACTGCCCTCGCCTGCAGGCTCTGCCCCCTGCAGCTCCCATTGGCCAGGAATGGGAAACCGGAGCCGGTCAAGGTAAGTGGCACCAGGCTGGAGCCAGCACCCCACACTCCTCCTGCTCCCCAACCCTCTGCCCTGAGCCTCCAACCCCCTGCCCTGAGCCCCCTCCCCCACTCTGCACCCCCTCCCACACTCCACACTCCCTCCCGCACCCCAACCCCCAGCCCCAGCCCTACCTTCATGGCTCTGCATGCCATTTCCCCATCCAGATGTGGCCCTTGGGCCAAAAAATTTGCCCACCCCTGATTTAACCTCACCTACCAGGGCTTTTGTACTATAGGTGTATGAATATAATTTACAAGCACAACGCAAATACTCCAAAAAAGTTTCCATAAACATTCATTTGAATATTTAAACAAATTCCCTTTTAATGTGTTTGGGTCCCTTTTGTGTTCTTTTTCAGCAGAGATTCAAGTGAACAACTCTACCACCAAAAATATTAATCAGAACACCAAATTCCAAGCAACTGTTGCAAAATATCCATGAAACAGGAACTTAGAGTTAATAATTGCGAGCATTTGCACCAAAAACCAAAACAACCCCTAAGCAGGAAACACTAACATACCATGTGACCTACAGTTCTGTTCAAAATAGTTAATTTGAATACTAGCAACGACCCGCTTACAACTAGGAATTACTTAGTAAATAATTTTGTATAAAAAATTCAGGAAAAACATTATCTGTCTGTGGACAATTCTCAAACAGGAAAAGGGGCAAAATATGTTGAAAAAATTATTTGTTATGCATTTTTGACCCAGCTGCAGTAAGTAAAATAATGGCAGAGCATACTGTAATTTCAAAATTATAAACAGGACCTAGAAACTAGATCAATGTTTAAAATTATAACTACTCAGTTCAAATCAAGGGACCCTGAAGCACAGATGAAACATTCGTTTAATTCTGATCTTCAGTAGATGGACACACACACACACTCTCCTCAAAGCTTCTAACCGTTCTCCTGTTTTTAAATATATGTGTAAAATCCTAACTTGCTGGTCTCAGCAATAAAATAATCACAGCTGAAAGGTTTTTTGGGCCTGAATGCTAGGGTAATGGTGCTTGAGAAATCCCCACAAGAGATTTAAGAAATGCTATGTACTTGGTCTCTGTTTACAAATTAGATATGCTCCAAAAATGGAAATAGCCAGAACAAAAACATCTTGGGTTGTTTTGTTTTTTGTAATGAAGCATCTGGATGAAATATCTTCTATTATATGCTTATTTCTTTCCTTGGACTGTACACTCCTGTGATTTTCTTTCTGCTACATTAGAAAGACAGAACACTCTGGTATGTTGGCTATAGAGTGAATCTTCCTCAAATGCCATCTCTCTGCACAGTACCTGTTCAATCAAAATTCTGCTTTGATTTTTAAACATATCATCCACTGAGACCAGCACTAAGAACACCAATTGAAAACTCCCTGCCCTGAGTGCAACCACTTTATAGTGTGATAAATGTAGGTCTGCGTAACACTTCCCACCTGTCACCAGTCTGGTCACCATAGCCATCCAGAACTTTGTGGGCACAGTGAGGACAGAACCCCAGAATCTCTTGTTCCACAACCACATGCCCCTATCACTTGAGCTAAAGGAGAAACTATCTGTTAGCAATAGAGGCTATTTTTACACAGGAGTCTAAGGATGTTATGGTCAGGATTGGGGTCCCTAACTCCCTTAGGCCTGGCTACAGGAGAAAGTCGCATCACTATAACTAAAGATGTGATTTTAAACTGATTTCTTACACCAGTGCAACCTCCTATAGGGACACTATTTGTGTTTTAAACCAAATTTATTACAGCTTAGTTTAAACTGATTAGGGATCCATTTTAGATAAACCGAAATAAGCCACTCTTAACTGACATAAGACTTTCCACACAGGGGCTAGCATCAGTTTAAAAAGTGATTCAAGTCAAACCAGTGCAGCTTTCTTATCTAGACAAGGGCTTAGGCTCCTTGGAAAATCTGCCACAGAGCTTGACACACAATTAAGCATCTCTCAATCTATCCAGTAGAGGGCAGTGGCCAACACATCACAAGGACATCCCCATGATTTAACTGGGGATCAGTCCTGCTTTGAGCAGGGGGTTGGACTAGATGCCCTCCTGAGGTCCCTTCCAACCCTGATATTCTATGATTCTTTGTCTTTCCAACAATGTTTGTGTTTAATCTTTAATGAAAGATCCCCCTGTACAAGGATTGTCTGCTAGGAACTAAACTTATTTCTAACTTATGGCAAAACACACCTTTCTGACCCTGCCTCTACCCTTGATACACCACTGTAAATGCCTTCCTGGTACAGCAGCTTTCAGGGCAGTTGTTCACTCATTGCAAAAGTTAATGTTAAAAACTCTTCAGGGCCATGTCTGCCACAATGGCTTCCCTGCAGCCCCAAAACATCTTCCCCCACATCCCCACTGACACACATCCTTTTGGCCACAGCTGTTGGCCCTTCACATTCTCCTTTCGCCACAATTGCCACACACTAACGCAGCACCCAATATCAAGCTCTTGTTTCCTTCCTCCTAGAGTTACAAAGCTGCACTAAACACTTACACCACTGTAAATCAAAAGTAATTCCACTCTAGCCACTGGACTTACGCTGCTGTAAGTGGCTGAAGAATGAGACCTATGACAAAGTTCCTGCTCTACCTTGGTGGGTCTTGCGCTTATTGGCAGATTTGCTCGCCTTGGAGCTTCACGGCAGCCCGCAGCTTGGCCATTTTTCTGAATTCACAGTCCAGGTCGACTCCTCCTGTGTCTGACCAGGAGTTGGGAGGATTTGGGGGGAACCCGGGCCCGCCCTCTACTCCAGGTTCCAGCCCAAGGCCCTGTGGAATGCAGCTGTCTAGAGTGCCTCCTGGAACAGCTGTGCGACAGCTACAACTCACTGGGCTACTTCCCCATGGCCTCCTCCCAACACCTTCTTTATCCTCACCATAGGACCTTCCTCCTGGTGTCTGATAATGCTTGTACACCTCAGTCCTCCAACAGTCCGCGTTCTCACTCTCAGCGCCTACTGCCTCTTGCTCCCAGCTCCTCGCACACACACCACAAACTGAAGTGAGCTCCTTTTTAAAACCCAGATGCCCTGATTAGCCTGCCTTAATTGATTCTAGCAGCTTCTTGATTGGCTGCAGGTGTTCTAATCAGCCTGTCTTAATTGTCTCCAGAAGGTTCCTGATTGTGCTGGAACCTTCCCTGTTACCTTACCCAGGGAAAAGGGACCTACTTAGCCTGGGGCTAATATATCTGCCTTCTATTACTCTCCTATAGCCATCTGGCCTGACCCTGTCACAGACCCTTTGAAGCCAGGTCTTCCAACAACCTACCCTCAATGAACATTTGCAAATTCTGCTTTTCCATGAAGTGGGAATGCTGCTTTGAGAAGACATTGAGTTCCCCTTACTGAATTTTTGGCTCCCTTCCAGAGATGGTCCCAAACACTCACCACCAAACATGTTGAACCCCAGATCAAATGGCATGGTTCAGGGTCCATCTCTACCACCATCTCCCTTTAATCTAGAACAGAAGGCAGCAGTGTAAAGGAACTAGGATTTGAAGAAGTAGGACAGATACAGTTCATATATTCATATCTTGCCTCTTTTGGCTCTGGATTTGTAAGATGTTTGTTGATCTTAAAATGACACCAGAGTTCACCCTTTTATAACTTGTGTTTAAAAAAAACCAAGCCCCAAGGTTTATTTCCAAAACACCATTGAGTCAAGGTTACCTTTGTATGTTTGGACCGGTTTTCAACTGTAAGGCAGCTAGAACACCACTGACTGATGGGTGCCCAAAACATTCATCATTAGCCTTACATTCCAACCAATTATGGACTTCTCATATAACCTGGCCTGTGTAACCAAGACATTGCCAAAATGTTAACTTTTCCCTTCTGTGCCTTTGGCATTTATGGTATGTTTTAAGTCGTATCTCAGTGCTGAGGAATGGCACAGAGATACAGAAACACATCATATGTTGTTTCCTTTAAATAGGATTACAGGATTTGTTAGAGTTCTCTCTCTTCATTTTAGGACAACACTATTCGCTTGAACATATGGCCTAGATACAACACTGTCTTACACTGGCACAAAAGTTGCCATCAAGGTCCTGTCCACCCTGTGATCTACCCAATGTTAGCTCCAATTATGGTTAAATATGGTTGTAGCTAATGTGGGTGGGGATGTTTCTGTCTGGCAACCATACTAGCCAAACTCTACTATAGATATACACCACTCCCAGGTTGTGTTTTAACACTAACACACCCAGCTCTTAGACAAAAATTCACTGATCACACTGGCTGGAAAACCATACTAGAAGCCTCCTAGTAACAATTGTGTTTAAGCACTTAGGTTGTGCTTAGAACCCAGGAGTCCTGACACCTAAGTCCTTTGCTCTAACCACTGGAAAATATTGTCTCTGCTAGGCAGAATCTGGACTGATTCTAGGAGCACAGAAGCGTTTATGCAAATCTGAGCAGCAACATCCGTAATTTGAACTTCCTCAAATTTCTTGTCACATCCCCATCAAAGAGCCTTTTACCAGCATAACTGCTATTTCCTCTGTTCAATACACGCTTTGTGTTTGTAAGAAAATGCTTAAACTCATGATCATTCCATTCTTCATCCTATCCTGCTGTAAGCCATGGATCTGCTATTTATCAACTGCATCTTATTCCAAAGAGGGACTATTGACTAATTTTGCTCAAGTTCTTCTTCTCTCTTTTAGTTCAAGCCACTCAGGAGAGTCAAAAATCCAATGAGAAAGATAGCGGTAAGTTTTCATTTTTTGTTTTATTATATTATTTACACAAATCCTTTAGAAAAAAATTCATGTCACTGTTAAACAGAATAATTCCGTGTTGTAAAAAATTTTCTCCTTGCTCTCTTTAGTCACACATGGAATGAGATAGTTACGTGAATTTTTTTCCCTTGCTAGATAGACTGTGTGTACATTCAGAAATGCTTAAAGTTTTTAAAACCCCACTAGAATCGCTGAACAAAATAACACTGTTTCCCTGTACCCTATTTTATATACTGTAGCTGGCTCTAGAAAGGAAAGCAGCGTTGTATAGGAACTAGGATTTGAAATACTAGAAATACTGTGATTTACATGGACTGGAGCTCAGCATTATCCTATGGAAAGAGTTTGCAGACTTTTTTCTACAGTTACATTTATGATGATCCCATGAAAAAAAACCTACATTAACAGAAAGTTGTCAGCCGCTTAAGAATTCCAAAGTCAGGGTAGCATAAAGTTAAAGCTGCTCCCACAACCTTAACTCTGCTTGTTTGTGCGTATGTATCATTACAATAGTGTCCATATACATTTTCACATACTACTTCACAACTAATTAAATAATGGATCATGCCCTTTTCCCCATAGCTTTAGATACACTACTTTCATTGCTATAATGATTCAGTAGAGCTTTTTTGGCTTAGATGTTTTATATCTGTTACCTTCTGTGTTCAGGTGTGTGTTTTACTAGGATAGTTAGCAGCCATGTACTGATGACTGAAATGAAAACAGATGGTTCAGCCTTTCCTAGGACATGAGCAGTTAAGTATAGTCTGGGGCTTCCTCCTCCCACAAAAATGTCCATGTCACGGGCAGGAACTTTGGGTGGAGAAGAAGAGTTCTATAAGGATCCCCTTTTGGGGACTGTTCCATGCAGGGACAAACTTTGCCTCATCTCCGCACACCATAAGCAGCTGTTCTGCCCCATGCTCCCATGTGGACCCCCAAAGATTAAGACTCATTGAAGGGCATGAGCCCATTCTCTTCTTTTCCTGACACAAAATCTGAATTTCGGGAAAAGATTTCCTGAGGTCGAAGATTATTAAGCTGTGGAAGGGAAGGAGGAAGCCTCGTTGCTTGGAACAGTCCAAACTAGTAATTCTAAAATAGGGAGTAATCCCGCACTGTCCAGAAGATGGATTTAGCAGGTCTTTTCCATCTCTAGATACTCTGCTCTGAGCTTCTTGTCATGCTGAGAAGCTACTCAAAGGGGTGTTTGTGAGGATCAGTTAATGGATGCAAAATACTTTGATAATATTTTATGCACACTGCTATTTTTACTCCATCTGAATTTCTACCTTGTACCGAGGAAGCCAGGTGCAGAATTCCCCATAAGGAAGAAAAATCATTTGTACTCATGGGAGCCGATCTTCCTCCCATTCCAAAACTCTAAGAGACTTCAAGGGGAGCAAGAGCAGGAGGCCTTTACTCCATAGTAACCTTCGTGAAGGATTTCTACCCACTTTACAAACATTCAGTAAGAGTTTGATCTTACAAGCCTACTGTGTATGAAATTCCATTGAGGACCTAGTGCATAGAGCCCTTTCAGGCTTGGAACATAAGACTCACAACAGCCCTGTGCATTAAATGAGCTCTATTAGAGTGAAATGCTCTGTCCAATGCATTTCTTGTTCTTTTTCGGTTGTTAGTAGGTGGCCTTGTTTGTTCCTGATGAGAGTGTTTGTTGGCGTCTGCCGTTTACCACTGATAAGCTGCATCATTTTGTAGACGGTTCCTTGTTCACCGTGAGCAGCTGAATCCTCTGCTTGTGTTGCCAGATTATCAATATAATTCCATTTGTCTGCTCTCACAAGGTGTTTGACCTCCCAGTGTGCCTTGCTATACTGCTCGTGGTATTTGTCCTTTAGCTTCTGGGATTTTGTGTCTAAAACTTTTTTCTTCAGGGCTCGTCTGGTTTCTATGGCATTCCATATGCTGGGTGTAACCCATTCCTTCCCTCTCTTCTGCTTGTAGCCTAGACAGGCTTCACTGCTCTGTTTATAAATTACTGTTACTTTGTCCCACTTCTTGTTGATCTCCTCATCTGGATCAAAAAATTGCTGAACAGGGAGCCACCTAAGGAGGAAGCAAACATCCAGGAGGCAGAAGATGATCTTGATATCAACACAGACACCCCAACTAAGGAAGAGATCATTCAAGACATCAAATCCTGAAAAAATGGGAAAGCTCATGGCAAGGATAACTTGAATGCAGAATTGTTCAAAGTAAATCCTAAATTAGCAGCATCTATCCTGGCCCTTCTATTTATATCAGTCTGGGAAAGGGAAAAAGTGCCAGATGAGTGGACCAATGGGGTTATAGTGAAGATACCAAAGAAAGGAATTGTCAGTGATTGTAATAACTGGTGTGGTATCACACTTTTACCTGTGCCCAGCAAAGTAGTGTGTAAGATCATAATCCATCTTATATCAGAGGCAGTTGATAGCATTCTCAGAAAAGATAAAGCTGGTTTTCAGAAAGGGTGTGGATACACAAACCAGATCTTCATTCTACAAAACATAATAGGACAGTGCTTAGAATGGCAACAACAACTCTACGTAAATTCCATGGACTTTGAGAAGGCTTTTGATAGCATTCACAGGACCAGCCTATGGTGCATTCTGCGGGCATATGGAATTCCTTTCTGTATAATCAACATCATCAAAAGCTTCTATTTCAACTTTACATTCAGGGTTGATCACAGTGAGCTCAGTTTTGAAGTCAAAACAGGAGTATATCAGGGGTGTGTCATGTCTGCAATCCTCTTCAACATTGCCATCGACTGGGTAATGCAGCGTACAACAGAAGACATGCCAAGGGGCATTAAATGGACATTCTTTTCATCCCTTGAAGACCTGGACTTCACAGATGATGTCGCTCTCCTATCACATACCCAACACCATATACAAGAAAAAACAACTTGACTTAATGTATTCAGCCAGAAAATTGGATTGAAAATCAATCGCAATAAGACGGATCTCATGACCTTTAATATTGCCTCACCATCACCAGTACGGATAGAGGATTATGTTCTCACCAATGTAGAAACATTCACATACTTGGGCAGCACCATCAGCCAGGACGATGGAACAAGCCAGGATATCCGGAACAAAATCAATAAAGACAGGAACACCTTTAGGAGCTTAAATACTGTCTGGAAATCATCAAAATACAACACCAAAACCAAACTCAAGATTTATCAGAGCTGCGTACTTTTAACACTACTTTATGGTGCAGAATGCTGGGGAATGAGAAAGTATGACACATCCAAACTGTCTTCATTCCATACAACCTGCCTCAGAAAAATCCTCCATATTTTTTGGCCCAGAACAATCTCAAACCAAGATCTATTGACACAGTGCAGTGCAGCCAAGAGGATCTGAGCACCATCATTGCCAGGAGGCGTTGGAGATGGATTGGTCATGTGCTTCGGATGGAAACTGATTCCATCACCAGAGTAGCAATATGATGGACACCTGAAAGCAAGCGAAAATGAGGCCACCCGAAAACAACATGGCGAAGAGCTGTGGAAGCTGAGCTGAAAAACCTGGGGCATAGCTGGGGAACCATTGAAAGACTTGCCAGAAACAGACAGGAGTGGAGGAGCTTCCTCATTGCCCTAAACGCCAGACACATAATAGGAACATGATGATGATGATTAGAGGGATGAGCAACATTCTCCACTAGTTTAGTCTTTGAAAGTCAAACCAAATTCCCCTGGAAACCATGAGTGATCTGGAAAGAGGTTGCTTAACATGGGCTGGGTTATGGGATGTGGTTCTTAGTTCTTGAAAGTAGCTATACTTGAACAAAAGAACTTCAGAAACAGACTTCAAAGAGAAACAGCAGAACTAAAATTCATTTGCAAATTTAACACCATTAATTTGGGCTTGAAATAGGGACTGGGACTGGCTGGCTCATTACAGAAGCAGCTTTGCCTCTCCTGGAATTGACACCTCCTCATCTATTGTTGGGAGCGGACTACATCCACCCTGATCGAATTGGCCCTGTCAACACTGGTTCTCCACTTGTGAGGTAACTCCCTTCTCTTCATGTGTCAGTATATTTATGCCTGCATCTGTAACTTTCACTCCATGCATCTGAAGAAGTGGGGTTTTTTTTCCCACAAAAGCTTATGCTCAAATAAATCTGTTAGTCTTTAAGGTGCCACCGGACTCCTTGTGGTTTTTGTGGATACAGACTAGCACGGCTACCCCCGATTCTTAGTGTTAGTTTCACTGGGTGTTCATTTTGCAGCGGGGGATACACAAAGAATATATATTACAATTTGGACGCCTCCTCTTTATGTAGTCTGCCTATCAGTGGTGCTGAATAATCTTCATTTTTCAAGTCAATAGGAATTTTGGGGAACTGAGCTCTTTTGAAAACCTGGTCTAAAGTGTTTACATTTTTTCAACTGTAATTCATCTGAAATTCAGCAGTACTTTACTTTACCATTATTTCGTTTGTCTAATGGCATAGTTACCTGCAAGAAAAAAACTCTCCCCTAGGGCTGTCAAAAGAATTAGTTTCTATTTCTGACCTTCTGAAAGATCTGGCACAGTGTTGGCCAATTAGATTACATATGTAATTACCACATCCTGGTTGGCTCAGAACATTTATAAGAAGGAATTTTTGCTGCACTCACTCAGAACAGATATGTAGTTGCCTACTTTGTGATTAGCTTGTAAAAAAGCATAAACAGGTTTTTCCCCTCTACCCTCTTTGGCACGCTAGTTTTAAAAACCATTATCCCAAAGAAATGTCTGTGGCCACAATGGGGGAAGATCTGCAGATATTTCCGATGAAAAATATTCAGAAGATAGGTATTACTCCATATGACCAATTCACGTTTCAAACATCAACATGTTTTTGCCCCGAGAGGCTGTCTTGGTCAACATTTAGCATGAGGGCCAATAAATCTCACCTATCGCTTTTCATAAACCAATGGCTCCAAATCACAGGCATGTGATTGGGCACTAGTAAGTCATGCTTCTGTGGCTGGCATGCTGGGGCCCCCTTCCTTACACTCTGGATGAGTCTCTACATCTCATGCAGCAGGTCAGCTCAGATAATGCTCAAGTCTTCAGCTGCAGAGGCCCTCCCAAGACATGGGGGTTACAACTCCATTCAGAGACAGGTGATCCAGTTAGCATGACGTGTCCTATTCAGACTGGAGGGCCACATCGTGCAAGATCCTTTGTGCTGACTCTGGGGTTGAGGATGACTTGAGCCATCATAAGAAACACGACACCTCCACCTTTATTCTAGCTCTGGCTGGTAATCCTATGGGTCCCCCTTTCTGCTGTCTAAAGAGGAAATCCACATTCAGTTTTCCACTAACTCTTCACACACACACAAACACATACAGCCCAGTTATGGACACACATTACCTATCTCTCTCCCCGTGGCCAAGGACTGTACTCCCCAGCTGAAATGACAGAGGAATTTGGAACAGGTGGCAGGAAAATATTTGTACACTGAATCTTGGGTCTTATAGCCATGGAGTCCAAAAACTGAGGCTCCATGGAAGACAGGTGTTGCCCCAGCCCTGATGCCCTGGGCATCTAGTTCTCCACATTTCTCTGCCAGGGGGTTGGAAGTTATTTGCGGATTGTTGTTTTACTCAGAAATGTTTCTTTTCCTCAGAGCAACTGTCTAACCCTGAGTTTGGATCTCTCCAAAAGAGCTTGGAGGTACAAATTGGCCAGAATGTGACTCTGTCCTGTCAATCCACCAATGGCTCTCTTCCTATCAACTATACATTTTTTAGAGGAAATCAGAATCTGTGGCCGATTATAACGAAGGAGGACAGGAACCCAGCTCTGTTTAACCTAACTGTCAGTTCTGCCAGCGACTTGGGGGAATATAAATGCAAAGTTGTAAACGGAATCTCCAACAGTTCAAAATACAGCAAGAGTCTCAACTTTACGTTACTAGGTAGGGGTTTGTGTGTATCTGTGACATTTTTCAACATCAGGAAATGAGTGTTCATAATAACCCATCCCAGCTGGTCTGATCCTGTGAGCTCCTGGAGGCACAACCCCAGGGCTCTTTGACACATGGCACCATGCAGGACTGGGCACAAGCATTGTGCCATAACCCTCCCCAACCCATTCAGAACAGTTTAAAAATTATATTATGCGTTAACATGTCCAGAGCGGGCTCTGGCAGCTGGAACTGCAGTCAGAAGGGGGTCACACAAGCTGCACCCGTGTAAGAGACCACCTAGATCTGACCCTATAGTTTTACTGTATAATTGTTCCTGCATATGCCCAAAATAGCTTGCGGAGTACAATCCACGACCATCTCAGGATTGTGCTGCCATGTGACCTTCCCCACTCCTTGCTATCAATACCTTAACTTTTGAGCAGGAAGAGTTCTAAAACAGAATGAAATTTCTTTCAAAGGGATAGGGCCATATACTTTTCAATCCATTCATCCAGTAGCAGCAGCAGCCAGCAATCCTGCAAAGCGTTCTGGTAGAGAACAGTGTTCTAGAACACAGTGTGCCTCTGTCTAGAACTTGGACCAGATCCACAGCTGATGTGAATCAGCATAATTCTATTGGAATCAATGGAGCTACATTGCTCAAGGTCAGCTGAGGAGCTGTTCTCTTGTTTGTAGGTCTCAGTTTTAAATCTCATGTTTGCCTTATTTTTGTATTCCACTGGTTACTTTACAGATCCAGTGTCCAAACCAGTGCTGAGCACGACTACTTCCCAAGTGAGGATAGGCCAGAATGTGACACTGTCTTGTCACTCAGAAAACGGCTCTTCTCCCATCAACTACATATTTTTTAAAGGACGGAAAACGATGTCATCCAGAATACCTATGCAAGGAAAGGCAGCAGCTGTGTTAAATGTAATTATCAATTCTCCCAGTGACTTGGGCGACTATAAATGCAAAGCTGAAAATAATATCCCCAATACTACAAAATATAGCAACAGTCTCAACTTTACACTAGCAGGTATGTGTTTGTCCTACCTATTACTAACAGCATCTGACGATGAGCTTTTAATGAGCTCTGCCTGTCCATGTAAACTGGGGTAGCAGGTCCAGCAACAACAAAAGCACGTCAAAGTCCATGATGGAACTTTTAGTGCCTGGTAGCAGGGTCCACATGGCATCTTAGGGCACAGCAGGTTAGAGAGCTGGACATTCACACCTTGGCTTGCTGTGGATAGCCACAATTCCCGCCTCCTCCCCCAAGATTTTACTCTTGAGGTGCATGGATTTAACAAAAGAAACAAAGCCAGAGCTTTACGTTTAAACAGAGCCCAACTCAGCCTGTAAACCAGCACTCTAAGAACAGGGCATGAAGGAACACTACCAAGGAGTTACTTTTATATAGGCTTGGCAGAATTAGAATATATAATTTCAACAGATAATATCCATGATTATTTTTAAATATTTTTATTTAAATTTTCAATTGTGTGGAATTATGGGGTAGGAGGGGAGTTAGACAATGGCAGAGTCAGACAATTATTTAATTACAGTAAACATATAAAAAGATAGAAAAAGCTAAAGCTTTACAAATGTTAAAATACAAATCACCACACATCAAAATATACAAAGCAAATATCCTCAAATTAAACTCAAGCAGCATTTTTCTTACTTTGTTTCCATCGATAATAATTGAAATTTACAGATATGCATTTTTTCATCGGTTTGTGTTTGATGAAACTCATGTTTACCAACATTGACGGATAAAAATCTAATCCTTCCAAGGCCTGCTTTTATAGTCTTCCCTGGCTTTTCTCTGAGTTTACCCTGTACACCTGCAGGACATCTTAGCCTAGAGCTAAGTCCCTACCTCCTGTGATAGGGCAGGATTGTGTCCAGATCCTTCCCCCTCTGCATCTGTAGGTTTTCAGTGTGGAGCCCGTTCTTTTTCTCTCTAGGCTCAGGTAAGGACCCCTCACCTTTCCACAGTCAGTGTTATTAACAACTGCTACTCCACTTCTCCAAACTGTAATAGAAAAGACTGGGCTTTCGTTTTAATAGAAAGATACATACTTGGAACATCTTGCTCTCTACAAACACTCTTTCTCCTGTTGACAGAAGAGGATGGCCCTTCCTATCCCCTCCTCATTTTTCTTGTGCTGCTGTTTCTGCTGGTGGTGATAGCAACTGTCCTACTGGTTCCATTTCTGATCCTGCCTTGGTGTAAAGCAAGTGAGTTTTATTTGCTTCTCCATATTTTCATTGTAAAATAGTGCTTTAGATCCTTATTACACTCTGTGTCCTTGGAAATGGAAGGCTTAGCTTCCTGTCTGCACATCACACACTAAGGCCTCCCCATCTCTTAGCAGCTGGTCTCAGTACTCCCAGTGTGCCTGGTCCAGATGGTGTCTCCTGCCCAGCTCCCATTAAACTGGAGGGGATGGCCCAGTAATATAAGCTTCAGGATGGTAACATCAATATTCCCAGGAACTGCTGAGTTAAATCCAGTTAGGGTTAACTTATTTCTTCGCCTTTTTGAGGTAGATGCTGTATTGGAATCTTTAGGTGGAGCCCTTAGAAAAACAATATCCAATCTCTTCTGAGTGAATGCAGATCCAGTGGCACTTTTCTTAAGAGAAGTTTGCCCTTGGGTAAAACGCTCTCCTCATTCACGTGGGCTGACTCCTTTTTGCTCTCCACGCTAGAAGAGGCCACATTTCAGTGAGACCATACATATATAAATAAAGGGTGGATATAAATGCTGGGTAATAAGACCAAAGAGGCACCATTCTCCATCTTTTGATTGACTCCAAGTCCATCCTCAAAGCCAAGTATCTCTCTTCATACCAAAGCAACACGTTTTCAGGCTACATTTTAGGTCCCAAAGGCAAAAAGTTACACATGTGCTTATCTTCATGCACGAGTATTTTTGCAGAGGTCAATGGGACTGCTCACATGTCATAACTTATACATGTGCACAACTGTTTGCAGAATCAGGGCCTTGGTGTCCAAAATTAAAGTAGGAAAGCAGTCTCTTTTTGCAAGGACCCCATGATATATCACCAATACCTGCTGCCTTTGGGAGCAATTATTTCCTCTTCCCCTACCTCCATGTGAAGTAAAGATGCAGTCAGGCATGAATAGTACTGCTTGCTAAGGAATGATGTTCATGGACTATAACGTTATTTAAAATATCTAACAACCCCCCCAAAATTCATGGGACATGCAAATATCAACTGCTCCAAAAAAATGTATCATTTGAATAATTTTGTTTGTTTTCTTTACATCTTGCAGGAAAACTGAAGTCAGCTGGTTCCTCAACTAGTTTTGTTTCAACAGACAAGGCAACAGGGCCTGAAAATTACGTGACATACACTGAGATAGGTAAATTCCAAACTGCTCTTTCTTTAGACGTGGGACTCACAAGCAGGAATCTGGCTGCAGGACACGATTAACTAGTCCTAGATAAAGTTTATGGATGATGCCTTTCGGTCTCAAATGGGGAAGATGGGAAATGGGTGATCGCTACAGGCAAGTTACTGACCCAATAGAACTCCCATTGACATTGAGTGGAAGTTGCTCAGCATCTCACTCTATATGTGCATCTTATGCCATCCCAAGAGCCAAACTGCCGTCTGGGGAATGACATTCATTAGAAAGATCCTTAGAACCTTGTGTGAACCATCCCTCAGCTCCTATCAGGACAGAACTAGAAGGAAAGTTTGTGTTTGGATGTCTGTGAAGGTACTGGTAAGGAAGTGACAACCACAAAGCAAAGAGAAAATCAAATACTAGTAAATAAAGCACAGAGCCTAGATTTACACAATAGCCCCTTGCTAAGGGGCAAGGAAAGGATTTCTGGGTTGCCAGCGAAAGTGAAAAACAATTGTACAGCTTCTGCATTTTGCTTTGTATTCTTCAGTGTATATTTCAGTTCTTCACTCTGTGTTGCTCAACTCTGGCGAGATTCAGAGCCACTTTCCCCCAAAATGGAGCCACAAAATAACTAGGCAACAGCTGTCATAGTATCTCCCTGTTGTGTTATAACTAAGGATAAGATTTTGTCACAGACATCACAGATTCCATGACTTTAATAGACCTCTGTGACTTCAGGGCTAGAGCAGCTGTCAGTCCCCTCCGCTGCAGCGAAGCTGGAGCAGCGGCAGTCTGCCCCAGCCATAGGAGCAGTGGCAGGACCAGAGCAGCAACAGCCAGCCCTAGGGGCCGGCGTGGCAGCCAGCTCCCAGAGCTGGAGCCGCAGATGGCTGTCAGCCCCCAGCAGCAAGGATCAGACTGGAGGTCTCCCCACCTCCTGCTATTTTTAGTAAAAGACCAGGTCAGGGGCTTCCATGAATTTTTGTTTATTGTCCGTGACTTACTAAAAATACCCATGACAAAAATCATAACCTTAGTTATAACACTGTGTTATCAGTGTGGACTAACATACCCCCATAATAAAAACGTTGCAGGACACCATGCCAGGATTATCTTGAGGTTCTGTCAGATTTCTCCCCCCCTGCGACCTGGAGGTTGGAAAAAAGGGAGGATATCTCCCTGTTTCTAGCTACTGGAATGAAGATGGGAAAATGGGTGTTTTCCTCTCTCTCTCCCTCCACCTGTCTGCTAGGAGGAATGGGGAGGTATTCTGGCTGCTCTGCTCCATTAGCTCTGCACTCCCTGCAACGTTTCACATCAGGTAGAGAGGAGTCCTCAACTTGCACTATCCAAGAATATGTAGAGGGAGAACAAATGCAGACTCTGGGAGAGGCACGTGGGTCTTATACCACAGGCTGAGCCTCAGTGCTCTTTCACAAGCTTAAATTCACCAAGCTGTAATCTCCTGCAACTGAACCTTGAACTCTTTTTCACTTGTTTCCATCCAGAGTATGCTAAATCTGAAGAAGTGGAGTATGCCAACATACTGATTAGAAAAGAGGAGAAAGACAGGAAAGGTAAAAGGCTTAGATTGTAACCATGGGCAAAAATGAAGCATTTCACATTTTCAAGTTCATACAACTAGTGTTCTGGAAATAGAATAAAAACCGATTTAAACACAAATGTGTGTATCCCAAACACATCTGTGGATTAATGACAAAACTACCTCATGCATTTTGGAGTTTACTGTGCATTGATAGCATAGTCAAATGTTCACTTGCAGTAGGGCCTGACAACTGCCCAGTCTCACTCTTTATAAACCACTTTCACTGCCTGCTCCCTCTTTCCAGAGGTTAAGCACAACTCCCTATGGAGATAGATCCCTGGTGGTTAGCATTCAAAGGACATTTGAAGATGAGAAGGGTGCAACCAGAATTCATTTCAGGCAGACACCAAAATACGCCCCCAATTTGCCTACAAATGTTAGCTACCAGCATCTAGACTAAGGGGTTGGAGGTACAAGGTAGGTTGTTTATTGAAAGGGTGTTTCTATTGGTTTGAGCACAGGACTGGCCAACAGGAACTCCCACAAACTAATCCTGTGGTTAACACTGACTCAATGTATGACCCCAGTGACTACTTGAGCTCTTTGAAAATTTCTCATCTTTAAAATAGGAATAATACTTTCCCACCTTGTGGATGTTATGAGTGCCTATGAATTCTCTCACAAAAATCTTCATTAAAGTGAAACTAAGGTTCAGAGTACATACAAATAACTTAAAGGGTAAAAATCTTTACAAGACTACAATAGCTAATTTAAAAAAAAACACACAAAAGGAAACTGTTAAGGTTAAATATGAAAATCACAGTGGTGGGAGGGTGAAGTGGCCCATGCAAAAAAACAAACAAACCACCAACTTTATTTTATTAAGTGGGCTGTGGAATAAATAGTTAAGACTGCCTACTACAGAGATAAACTTCTAACTCCAGTTAGAACCTTGACCTGAAAAGGACTACCAATAACCTTCTGGGATCCCAAATGCAACAGCTTCATTCTGAAATGGTCCCATTTGTGTCATTAGTTATTGAGCTACAAGAGGCATGTTTAAATATAGCTCAATTATTGTGGACTTTTTAAAAAGTTAGTGTCTATTCTGACTTTTAGTGAACATGAGGGCAGATACTACAGTTTTCTACTCTGAAGTCATCATAAGAGATGGAACACAACAAGGTAAGTTTCCTCTCTGATGAGTTACAGGAGAGAGAATTATATAAAATATTTTTAAAGAGAACCTCTACCCCAGTAAATGTTGCTAGCACCACCGTGAATGTATAGGAAACACACAAACAAACATTTAGATGCTAGTTTCCCAGCCCTAATTATTTTGTAGTCAGAAGGTGATGTTAATCTCCTCCCCTGCTAATATTAAAGACTGGGTCCCTCTCCCTGACTTTGAGAGACTCCAGTTTGATCAAGACAAAAAAACAAAACATGTTAGAAAAAGTTCATTGATGTCCAGATTTCTGATTCCTTTACTCATGCACAGTACCTAACTCCACAAGTAATGCCACTGTAACTAATGGGACTAGTTCTTAAAAAAAAAAAAAAAAAAAAAGGATTATCAATATGGTGGTGCAACTTGACTCTCCATTGGCATTTCTCTTTTGATGTGTCAGCGGGAAGGAGTAAGCCAACAGTTAGCTAACATGGTCCAGCTATCAGGCTCTCACACAGAGAGCTTTGTTCCTGTGCTTGTCAGGAATTTCAGGAAATAAAACAGGATTTTAAATAAGCAGAGAATAAAAAGGCCGTGTTTAGCCATAGTTACCTTAAAAATCTGTCTGAGTAGCTGCCTGCTTGGCAGGCTGTTTCCCTAAAGGATCCATCGTTTGCCTTGCTAACCTACTACTACCTGCCAGGGAGCAGCTTCTCAGGACTCCAGGGTACAAGTTTTTTTACTTGAGCTGGACTCCTGCCTGGCATTGCCCCAGTCTTTTTCATTTTTGGGAGTGGGACTTGACATGACCCTCAGACAGTGGAAGAGTTGACTATTTCCCTACCACAGTCATTTTAACTCAGACCTATACACCTGAGTACCAACTACAATAGTTAGGGGTATAAGACCAGTACATTACCCACTCCATATTGCTTCCTCACTCACCCTGTAGCAAACAAACAATTTTTTCCTATCTACATTAATAGATTACTTGAAATAAAATGTTTACAGCTTAGTTCTTTAAATTGTTCTGGTATCCTTGAAAGGCAGAACAAATAATAATATGTTATATTCAAGCCAGAAATGACAGTAGTCTAAAGACTGAACTGGAAAACAGAGGCCATGTCGAGAAACATACTCACAAACTACTAACAAACACTGCCATTCTCTAAAAACAATGCATCCAATGGCTTTGCTTTTCAATTGGCCTTTTCCACATTTAAGCTTTTGAAACGCTCAACTCCCATTTATCTTCCCATTGCAGCAGAGACCTGCATTTGTCACCACATATCAGCAACATGTGTATTATCTGGACTCTCAGCCAAGGAAAACTTATCCAACTTACTGAAAATATCCTTTCTTCCAAGAGACCAAATCCTCTAGGACATGTCTTTGAGCCTGCGCTGCAGAAAGAGGCAAACCCAGCTTTGTCCATCAAGGGTAGAGCAGGGCTAAAAATACACATCTGCAGAGTTTACCAATTAGAGAACTTCTACAGTCAGGAAAACTTTATCAAACTGGCAGACTCTGCAGCTAAGCATGATTAGCCCTGGCCTAACTGTGGTGGATAGATCTGTTTTTGCCTCTTTCTGCAGTGCAGGCTGGAAGAGGTGTCCTGAGCATGCCAGTTTGAGATAAGGGTAAGTTTTCCTGGCTGTGAAAGTTCTCCAGTTGGTAAGCTCTCCAGATGAGCATTATTAGCCCTTCTCTACCCATGATGGACAGAGCTGGGTTTGCCTCTTTCAGCAGTGCAGGCTGGAAGATCTTCATAGAGGATTTGGATTTGATAGAGAATGAGTGCATCAGAAAGCTTTATCAACATCAGTTTTGGAGGATGTCATGGGTACTTCCCCACTCATATAAATAAGAATGAATGGTATCTAGCAAACAGAGTAGGGTATTGTGACTCAGAATTCCTGGCTTGTACTTCATCTGTGCCACTGATTCAGTATGATACTCTGGAAATCAATTTAAACACAGATACAAAATTCCTTTTATTAGAGAGGTTCTAATTTATACATTTTTAGCTGCTGTAATGTACTTAGTTAAAAAGTCCTTCAATCGAGAGATGTGCATCATTTCTTTCATGGTGGTATCTCTGCTTCTCAGCTGAACCACTCCATTCTCCAGAGTAGCATCACTGATCAAGATTGTGAAGAGGACACTCATCTCATCATACCTGCCAAAGAACAAGCACTCATTACTGCTGTTACAGTATTGTTGCCTTGGTGCGTGGCAGACTTAGATTGGGGTTATATCCCAGAGCAATATGTATATGTTCAAGTTTTGTATGTAGTTCTGTGTCCAATATGAAGATGCTTATTTTCTTACTTTCAGCTCCTTGATCTTCTCTAGTTAACTGCAGTAAGTTATTAGATTCTTTTGTAACAAAAGGGGAGTTTTATTTAGTAACCTACAATGGGGACATTTTTCACAGGAGAAAAACGTTACCATTTCTCCACTATTTACTAGCTGACCAGCCATACTTTGAAGAGTATTGTACATGAACATGACTTCTTAACTTTGCTATGTTAAACCAGTATGTGTTTGTTTCTTGCTGAAAACCTCTATTAATGTTAAGAGAAAAGCACAATCAAGATTATTTTTAGTCCTTAATCTACTTATGTTTTGTAGGTTAATATGGGCCAGTTCTAGCAAACTTAACTGGCATGAGCAATTCTTACTCAGTAGGACTGCTTGTGTGAATGGAGAATGAATCAAGGTGGTATCGGTTGAAGGGCTGGGTTCTATATAACAACGGTTTCAAATAAAATGATTTAAGAATGAAATGCAGAAGTCAGTCCACATGCAAAATTGGATGTAAGCCAGTTCTGTAGATTTATGATTCACTTTAGGAAACCAGTTTTCAGATGGGATTTCCTGAATGGTTTATTATTAGCAACTGAAGAGCAAAAAAAAAAAAAAAAAGAACCACCAAAAAGTTGAAGTATGAAAAATAAAAAAAAGTTTACTGAAATCCCTCACTTTTTAAAGTGAGCTAATTAAAGAGTTTTTAAAATGTTGTTAGAGATATCCAGTCTCAATCTGTATTTTAGTACCTTCAGTCATTTGGTTACTGTACCTGAAATTATACTGAAATCACATTAATTTTTGCTACTTTAAGGAAAGCCATCTTTCCACTTGACATTTTATTTTTTTCTTACTTTGCATAGAGTTGCTCCAGAGGTGTCTGCATGGTTTCAAGATACCCAGGCCACACAGAAATTCCTTTCTCTATCAATTCATTGAACAGCCCCTGACACACCTAGAAAAAAAAAAGACAGCCTTAAGAGGTCTAAAATGTTGGGAGAAAGACTGTACAGACTGTAGTATCTGTTCGATATTAAAGCTCATTTATAATGTTTATAAATTAACAGCAACACACACTCAGAAAAGAGCATTACTGCTAAGAGAACTTCATTTTTATACATTGTTCCCCATATGCATATCTAAATAAAAAGGTCTTTTCCCCCAAGTATATTTCTTACACAGACATCACTGACTTGAAAAAAAAAGTCAAGTCTTCATCTGAAGATTTCCTCCCTACTATTGTTACCCTTAAGATTACTATGAAGGATTAAACAAATTTAGTTTATATGCAGAACAAACAAAATTAGTCGATATTACTGTTCTATTAATACAGCTTGAGGAAGAGCAGACATTAAAGCCTGGACGTCTGTGTCCCCCCACTCCGTGTGGGATCAATCAATCACAATGGATCTAACAGACGTGCCCACTGTCCCCAAATCCCCATTCCACAGGGCACCTCCTAGCATGCAGGGAATATGGATCTCTGCAGGGGCTTCCGAAATCCTGCACAGTGAAAACGCTGTTTCACTACAGTGAGGGCCCTCCATGCCCATGAAGGAGAAGCAGAATTTTCCTCACATGAATAGAAGGTTAAAAAAAGTCAATATCAGAATTACAGCACAACAGTAGATGTAACTCCAACTCCCACAATTAAATGCTTAGTTACAACACACCTGTCTCAGCTCCATTGTTGGGCCTCTTCCAACGTCCAAAGCAACTTTTATTGGTGTTAAACAAGGGTGAAGCTTAAGTACCTAACAGTGTTGCAAGAAACATGTTACTCAGCATTTACATTAAATACATGAACCAGAACTAAAAGAGCATTAGTGAAATATATAGGAGTATCAGGGTGGATTTTATTTAAATCAAATTGATTTAAATCACTAGCAGGAAGACTCGATTTAATCATGGATTTCTTCATAAAAATGCATTCATGTTGGTTGTTATAACCTTAATACATATTCTTCACAGGTAGAGGAACTTCATTAAAATATTCTCAAACTGGGTCTCTTTTACGGCCTGCTGCCATTATAGGTTTTCCCTTCTAGTGAGAGAATGGTACGGTAGATCTCAAATCAATGAAGGCTACACTCAGAAAGACCTCAAGACTTCTGGAATATGCTGCTCAAACAGTTTCATGTTTGTTTCTACTGCCTGTCCCTCCCTTCTCAAGTTTATATCCAGGACTACTCCTTGTCCAGATCTATTCTGCCCCCAACAATCTTCTATTCATTGAACTTTCTGAAACTTTGCACTTTTAGAGAGAGGTAAGGGATTGACCCTGTGTACACAAATTTGCAGAGGGACAATAGGGTTGAGGTCTGTTATTTCTCACCTCTATATATTTATTTTAAAACATTTTTGCTGTTAACAAGCACGTTATCTCTGGAGACACAAATCCACAGTTTGAGAACTGCAAACTAAGCATCTCTGATGGTATCTTCTAGACTGAAAACCGAGTCCCATTGGGGAGACAGAAAGATTAACCTAAATAATCTATACAGAAGCCCCTGGAAGCCAATAAGATTGGGTCCCTAATCCATTAGCTATTGGAACTCATTTACAAAACTTTTCTTAAACATTAATATATTGTCTCATACTACAGAATTAGAATTAATAATCCCTATTTCATAATGAGATATCTTTGAGCTGTAATGTAGCTTAATTAAAACTATCTTTTAGATAGGTTTTTTCCTCAAAGCATTTTATCAAAAAAATCTGATTTAAATTTTTATAAAAAAAAATCGGTTTTTATTTTTAAAAAAATTATTGATTTTATCCACCCTGAGGAATATTCAAATGTTTTTGAAATAATGAAAAAATAAATGCTTAGTTAGTAAATATATTCAATATGTACAGTCTTGTGTTCTCTCAAAACAGAAATCCAGACTAGAATAAAGCGAGCCACATTTGCTATAACACTCAGACTGTTGTTTTAATTTGTAGCTTCCAAGTAAGACTATTTTCAGTCTCTTCTTCCTGACACACACTAAAAGGTCACCTTTCTTTGAAGAGTTTTCTTTCTTGTTAGAGAGCTCTCAGTGAGCTGCAGAGAATCACAAAGATATGCTAGCACTCCTTGGTCCAGATTGCCGCTCACAGACAGCACATGAGGAATAATATTCTTCCTTCCATCTCGGCCCTGCAGGAGAAACACAACAGAAATGCACTAAGCAACAGTCCTCAAAAATAAATAGTGTATTTAAATGAATGAACACAAGAAGGCACCAATCGCCAGATGGGTTCCCTCAACGTACATTTAAAACAAACATATATTAAAGAACAACAATCAGGAGCAACTTAACAACATACGGCAGTATCTAACTGAAGTCTGTAGCAAGAGAGAGAAGCACCCCACCTTCCTTAAATACTGCCTCTGAAGCAACATCTCACCAAAAGCCCTCCAAGAAGATAAACCTTACAACAGTGGTTCTCAAACTTTTTTTCCCCCCCCATGGACCACTTGAAAATTGCTGAGGGTCTCGGCGGACCACTTAATGATCTTTCCAAATGTTGTTTGTACCGTTAACTAATTATCGTAAAGCGCTTTATGTAAAAGCGCTACATAAAAAAACGCTTTTTTGTTCTACAAATAGAAGGACAACTCATATTTTAATATCGGTAGTCTTATGTTTCTAATGTGATGGATATGCCCTCTCTCCCCTGCTGCGACAGCCCCAGAGCTGGGGCTGGGAAGGGACTGGGGGGGGAGGGAGTGGGGGTGTCTCTCCCCAGCAGCCACAGCCCTGGAGCTGGGGAAAGTCACCTCTTTCTCTGGCCACCACAGCCCTGCATGTCCCAAATTCCCCCAACCATCTCTTCTCACCCCACTGCCCCCCTCCCACCTACCACCTATTGCCCCCAAGGCCACCACCTCACCTTATTTGTGCATCTTCTCCAGGGTCCAGGCACCTAATTAGTGGAGCCATGCCTGCGCAGCTCCACTAATTAGGTGTGTGGCCCCTTATTCTCTCATGGGCAGCTGCCCAGGCACGCACCTTAGAGGGAACTACCTGAATGGAGCTTCTGGACCACAGTTTGAGAACCTCTGCCTTACAACAAGGCAGGGATTTCAGACCCAGGCAATAGGGTTCAGCAGTGAAGGACTCCTCAAAGAGAATACCTTGCCCGGAGCCTCCTCTTTTACGTTAAGGAGCACCTTTGTTGATCTCAACTGTAGCAGAATAGCAGGGGGAAAGAGGAAGTCTCTCAGGGTTTCATATGTCAATGCCAAAGCCTTAAACCAGTGGTTCTCAACCAGGGGTCTGGGACCCCCTGGGGGGCCACGAGCAGTTTTCAGGGGTCCATCAAGCATGGCCAGCATTAGATTTGCTAGGGCCCAGGGCAAGCCAAAGTCCTGCCACACGGGACTGGAGCCTGGGGCAACGAGTCCCACTACCCAGGGCTGAAGCCTGAGCAACTTAACTTCGCAGTGCCCCCTGGACAACTGCCCTGCTTGCTACTCACTAATGCCGGCCTGGCTTTTATATGCAGAAAAACAATTATTGTGGCAGAGCTGGGCCATGGAGTTTTTATAGCTAGGGTGGGGTGGGTTCAGAAAGAAAAAGGTCAAGCACCCTTGCCTTAAACCACACCAGAAAGGCAACTAGTGCAGACCCTGAAGCACCGTGTAACATGCTCACAATAGAATACTCTACTTAACAAATGAGTACTACAATCTGAAATACTGTTCCCTACACCAGTGGTTCTCAAAGCCAGTCTGCCGCTTGTTCAGGGAAAGCCCCTGGTGGGCCAGACCGGTTTGTTTACCTGCCGCATCCGCAGGTTTGGCCAATCGCGGCTCCCATTGGCCGCGGTTCGCTGTGCCCAGCCAATGGGGGCTGCGGGAAGGGTGGCCAGCATACCCCTTGGCCCGCGCCGCTTCCCACGGCCCCCATTGGCCTGGAGCAGCGAACCGTGGCCAGTGGGAGCCGTGATCGGCCGAACCTGCAGATGCAGCAGGTAAACAAACCAGTCCAGCCCGCCAGGGGCTTTCCCTGAACAAGCGGCGGACCGGCTTTGAGAACCACTGCCCTGTCAATGTACCTCAAATCTAACTTCAAGGATCAGCTCTGGAAGTCAGAGAATAGTTGGTTTCTATACTCATTCTCTGCCCTTCTATCTATCTGCTTTTGAGACCTGGTAAGATCATAGTCCAAGATAGCATGGGTGCAGGCTACCAACCACTCACACTGCCTTTGTTTCAAGAACAAAATTTTATTTCCATGTTAATAAACTGGATCACACCAAAGCAAGATTTGTATCTCATAAGGCTTTCCCAGTGAGCAATATGTTAAATATAATACAATTAACTGAATCTTACATGTAATTTTGATTTATTCCCTGGATACATTTGTAACAGTTCATTATCTCCTAGACTCAGCAACGTTTCTATTGGTTCCTTTCCCCAAGGAAAGCTGTAGTACAAATTATTTCCTTTTCTTCCCTCTTTATCTTGAAAGTCGCTGCTGCTGAAGTTGGATGGGCCTATCGCAAACTGAAAAATAGAGATTTAAAATGTCCACTTATTGTACATATTAACTGAACTGCAAATGATAACTCTTAAAATATAGGTGCAAACCCACTGGCCTGTGACCATTTAACAACAGCTTTTAGAATTCCAAAGTGCTACATCAGTTACAGCACACAGCCCCCAAATTAAAATGGTGTTTTTCAATTCCCATTATAAACAATTTGAGAGTGTTGTTATGCACTCTTACACAGCTTCTCTATTTTACCCCAGAAGTGGTTGCAGTTCAGAGGTGGATATCTGGCAATATCATTCTATATCACCCCTAGAAATGCCTTTCCCCCCTTAAAACATAACTCTATAAGAGGCAGCCCAATGTTTTCGAGCTTAAACAGCAGTAACAAAGGTGAAGTGAATATCAAATACCTTTCTCCACCACTGGAGCCGCTGGCGCAACCAGTAATCAAGCCACTGTCCTGCAGTTCTGGCGGAGCTAAACCATACAAGGGAAGACATTGTCCTTTCGCCTATTCTTTAAACAATAGCAAGGGCAGCAAGTTAACTCCTTAAAAAATAATAAGGGAAAAGCAAGAGATACCATTCAAAAGTTATCCAAAATTAGCTTGCATTTGTTTAGTTTAAATATAAACAGAGATTTGTCAGTTTTCATTACTGTACCTCGCGATGTTGTCATTTTGAGGCTCAATGTTCAGAGCAGGATGAAAACATACTCCAACCTGAGCAAGTCCACATGGCAGCCTCTTGTTTACCAATTCTAGACAATTAATATATTGCTCTAGAGCACCTGTCACGAGACAAATCATTCATTTCTGCAGTTCTAGAGAGTATTTTAAGTTTTAATTATAATTAAATTCTAACTTATCTCCAGAACTGTTAAAGCACAGACATTTAGCAAGAAGGGAGAACAAAGGTAAAAGCAATAAGACCTCAAAGCTATATAGGCTAGCTATGTGCACAACTTGATAACTTCCATACATTAATTATAGTATTTTGCATGCACCAGCTCTGCCATTTGGACGGCTGTTTCTGAGAACTGGTGAAAAATTCAGTTCTCACAGGCCCATCTCCAATGTTGACAGAACAGTTAAGGGTCACATACACATTTAGACATCACAAGCCATGATTACATTGCTTCAGTACCTAACGAGGACACAAACTTGTAACACACTGAGGCAACATCACAACATGAAGATGCAACCAGTAAATCATTTTAACAGATCAATCTTATCCAGTGGTATAAATACAAAGAGGTTACCCACCCTGCCTTTGGCTCCCACCCAGCAGATAATCAGAGATCATGCCTTCAATTTCTAAACATATTATTCATTGGGGATCATAAGACTAAGAACGTACCATGAAGAAGGTCCTCTCGCAGCACCCCAGACGTCCCTAGCATGTTTTCCAGAGCTGCAGTTATCTGCTCTTTGTTTAATTCTTTATTCTGGAAGATTTCACGCAGGGCTCCAACCTGTATCAGCCTGAGAGCCTCCCCTGCTGGCAGCATGCTAGCTCCTGGCGCACGATGTAGCAAAGAATCCACTGCAAACACTTGCTCCCTGGAAACCACCACTGAAGCCCACCACTGGGCGACCAAGTTTTTCCTCAGCTCCAGCCCCAGGGGCCCAAAGCCTGGGTGGCAGCCCCTCAGGTACGAGTCCCAAGTGAGTGCCTGCTGCTGGTCCCCTCTGAGAAAGTGCCTCCTTCGGCACACATCCAGCAGCACCTCACTGCCCTCCCAATGCTGCCCCTCTGCACTACTCCAGGGCCCCCCCATGTAGGGCCGCAACTGGGCCAACAGGGGCCCCAGAGCAAACCTGAGGGACCGCATCTGCACCCCAGGGACCCCCCACAGCAGGCCTGGGTGGCCCCACCTGCACCCCAGGGACCCCCCACCTGCACCCCAGGGACCCCCCACGGCAGGCCTGGGTGGCCCCACCTGCACCCCAGGGACCCCCCACGGCAGGCCTGGGTGGCCCCACCTGCACCCCAGGGACCCCTAACCTGTGCCTCAATGGGATTTTGGAGGCGCCCACGTCAGGCCCCAGATGCCTCCCCTTCAGGGGACCCCAACCCGAGCCCTGCCCCAAAGCCTGACCCCTGAGCAACCGCTCAGCGCTAGGGTGGTACTGAGAGCGCCCGGGGGGAGAACAAAAAGGCCCCGACGTCTAACGGGTGGAAAAAAGCTTCTGGGAGCGCATGCGCACTGGATGGGGAACGGGCTATGCGGCAGGTGAACGCCGCTGCCCCAGCGAGCGGAAGAAGAACGCTCTGGGACTTGCGTTGGGCAAGGTCACGCGCCCAGCGCATGCGTGGTAATTCCCCTGCTCCCGTCCCCTGCGGCGGAACTTGGAGTCCCCGCTGGCCCCTCCCTTGGGTTACGTCAGCTTCCGCCGCACGGACAGTTGGTTCCTGGCAGAGCGCCGGAACCTGGGTGGAGGGGCGCCGGAACCATGAGCCCGTCCTAGCCAGGCCGGAAGCGGGAGCGCCCAGTGTGCCAGCTCCCGCTTCCGGCCTGGCCAGGGCGCGGGCCCTTGGAGGAGCGGGGGGGGCATTTCAGTCCCCCCGCACCGGAGAGAGGCTGGTGGCTCTAGCAAGGAGCTGATCACCTTATCAACCTCCCTGCCCCCCAATCGCGTCCCCGGCCTGAGGCTTGCAATTTGGGGGGGGGGGACAACGCTGTGCCCCCCAAACCATGCCCACGTTAAAAAGTGGGCAGACATGGCCCTCCCCCTTGCGGGGCTATGCCCCCTTCCGGTACCCTGCCTGGCTAACGGTGCTGGCAGGTTCTGGGCGATTTGAATGCTTGCCGTTTGAAATGACACTTTATTCTATAATTTGATTTTATTTTTAATTTAAAAAAAAATGGTGTTTTTCAAACCAGCACGAAACGTGTGTGTCTGTTAAGGAAACGCCTTAAAGCATGGGACATTATGAACGGAGCACTCAGGAACTGTGCTAGTCCCATCCGCAGATGGTTCTGATCCCCTGTGAAGCCCCAGTGGACCCCATGGGACTCTGTGCAGATACGAGCACGCAGCTGCATAAATCTGGTTATAGGATTCCTGAGGCTAATTCCTACTGCCTTGAGGCTGTTATGCCAACACCTTCACCTATTGTGAGAGACCACAGCATTTTCTGACAACCCTCCTCTGCCTTCCCCTCTGTCATGGACACAAATTCATGCATCGACAAATGAGCCAGGAGATGGGAGTCAAATCACAACTTTCCAAACAGGGTGTAGGTGACCACAGCTGTGGTCCACTGAGTTTAAATGCAAATGGGACTGTGGAAGGAAAATCTGGGATGGTGCTCTGAATCTAGACACATAAGTCAGGTGAGGCCCTGGATGCACAAAGCCTCCTGCGGTCACAAAGATAGGAGATGCTCCCTGCCGTTCTTGTCAGAGCAGCATTGTTATATAAAAAGGCCTCTAACAGAAAGGTTCACTAGGCAATAAAAGAGAGTTAAAACAGCATAGATGGGAGGGAACTTAATGTTCTGCTGTAGGCGTTCGTGGCTGAGGGGAGGGAGGTTTGTCTGCTAGTTCTGCTAATGAGCAGTCAGACTCCAACTAGCAGTCTGACGCAACAGCACAGCAGTGGAAATTTCCATACATGCAGCAGCATTTCCTAATCATGGATTTAAACTAGTTCCAGTAGGTGGAGCTTAACAAGGAGTAAGCATTCAATGTGCTGTGCATGTTATGAAAAATCATGCATGTTCAAGTCTCAATGATTCAGAATAATCCCATCATCCACTGTTGCCAGCTTTACAGGCTAGAAGAGCAACAGAGTGAAAATAAAAAATTGACAAGAATTGTTACTAGGTCACTAGGTAAGCCTGATGAGTTACAGGGCTAAGCAAAAGAAATCCAGTTTAACACCCTATCCACAGTAGGATCAGAATCCTGCTAGTTACAATGGTATTTACAAATGACAGTTGGTACGAGCTTGGTTCTAGAAAAGGGCAAGGATAGTCTTGCCTGAGAATCAGGAGTCATATTCTATACTACAGTTCTTGGGGTGGGGTGGAATCCCATTTATTCCCATTGAGGAACCTGTGCTAGAACCCTGCTAGCCACAAGTATGTTTTGATTAATTATAACAGTTAAAGTTAACAGAGTTCGGAGCCCATCCTGAGCAGGAACTCAGTAAAATAAACTCACAGTAAAACTACACCTGACCTAGACCCCACAACTTGAGTGGCATAGCTTGTGCTGTCTATGGAATTGTCTGCTCTGCAGGCTGTGTGCAAGGAAATCTTTACCATAGACAACAGTCACGTCTATAGTTATGTTTTGTCCTCATTTTACAGATACAGGGAATTGATTTGCCCAATGCCCTTACTCAGGGACACACTTTCCTTCTCCTGAAGTTTACAAATCTAAATCAAATCAGTCATACAAATACATGGGACAATAATTCAAAATAGAACACATTTATCTTTTAAAGCTGTGCCACAGTGGATTAATTAGTAGCATTATGATGTAACAAACTGGCAGATACTGGCTTAGTAACCCACATCACAGCTATATGTGGGGTAGTGACTAATCAAAGGAGTTGAGTTCTCTTGCAGTTTATGCTACAGGAAGAGCCAGTTTTAACAAGCCTAGATTTATTAATCCCACAATCTGTTGTGTATTGCTACCTTATGGTTGCTAGCAGGTGTCAGTTTCCACCTAGCACCAGGATGACCTCAAAAAATCTCTGCTAAAATAGTACAAAACCACTTCACTGGAGTGCTCCTCCCTATGCATTTCCTAATGAACCTCCCATGCCTCCTGTTCCCAGTTATGACTTGTAATTGGCTTTGTATTTCCTTGTAGCAAACAAGACAAAGCAAATGAACATGTAATTTTGCTTCAAGCGAAGGAGGGGAGAGGTCATTGGTTCACCTTTGTTTACCCCTTCTATGCCTGCTTTTTAATTTTATATAAAGAACAAGGAATCATGATAATTTCCTGTTTAATCTAATTAAGCAAAACAAAAATTAATTTAAATTTTAACTTATGGATGTTTAGTTATCACATGAATTCATGGGTTCCTGTTTATCTTTAAACAGACACTTAAACTGGAGGCTCAGTGGTAAACCCCCACATTTCAAACACTTGTGGAATTTATACATATAATTCCAAGTAGGATGGACTCAGTCCTTCATCCTCCCACTATAGATCAATTGATTTGCTTGCCATTTATTTTGCTAGAGGTCTTAGAAAGATCCCCTCCACATCCCTGAGTGAAACTTTAGAACTTATTTACATTGTGGTAGCGTTTAAGGACTCTCTTCAAAATTGGGGCCTTATTGGGATAGGCATTGTAAAGATTCAGGCAGACAGTCACTGCCCTGCCCCAAAGAGTTTACAATCTAAAAGTTAAAAAGAAAAATTAAAAGCAATGCCAAATAAAAAGGTAAATGAAAGGGATAAAACATACTAGCACAAATCTATCAGAACAATGGCAGGTATGTCTTGGTAGTACGTTTGGTATTTAAGGGGGGTAAGTCAGGTTAGACACAGGGGAGAAGGGAATTTTGGAGTGACCAGACTGTGAAAAGGGAGTTAAAAGGAGGATAAGTATAATAGGCATGCATAGAGATTGGGGAGCTGGGAGGGAATGAACCACCAACAGCAAGACAGTAAATAGGAATAATCCATGAACATCTCAGCCTAAGCTTTAGGATGTTTTCTCTCCCCCCGACCCCACTCTCCTGCTGGTAATAACTTATCTAAAGTGATCACTCTCTTTAGACTGTGTATGATAATCAAGGTGGGCCATTTCCAGCACAAATCCAGGGTTTAACAAGAACGTCGGGGGGGGGGGGGGTGTTAGGAAAAAACAAGGGGAAATAGGTTACCTTGCATAATGACTTAGCCACTCCCAGTCTCTATTCAAGCCTAAGTTAATTGTATCCAATTTGCTAATAAATTCCAATTCAGCAGTCTCTCACTGGAGTCTAGTTTTGAAGTTTTTCTGTTGTAATATCACAACTTTCATATCTGTAATCGCGTGACCAGAGAGATTGAAGTCTTCTCCGACTGGTTTATGAATAATTTTTGACATCTGATTTGTGTCCATTTATTTTTACGTAGCGACTGTCCAGTTTGACCAATGTACATGGCAGAGGTGCATTGCTTGCACATGATGGCATATCTCACATTGGTAGATATGCAGGTGAACGAGCCTCTGATAGTGTGGCTGATGTTATTAAGCCCTGTGATGGTGTCCCCTGAATAGATATGTGGGCACAGTTGGCAACAGGCTTTGTTGCTTGTGGGTCTGAGGTCACTGTCTATCCTCCAGACCAGTAGGGTCTCATTTCCTTGTATTCTACCCCCCTTGCCCCATGGAGCCAACTGATTTTATAGGTTGAGAGCTCTTCAGGGCAGGATTGTTATTTGTACAGCACCTAGGGCTTGTAGACACCATGGTAACATTAGGATAGTTCATTCTGGGTTTAAGCCAGGGTACTATTGTACCATGTGATTGGCTAGTGAAAGTTACAGCAGACAAGCCAAAAGAAGCCTCCTCTTGAGATACATACACACAACATCCATCCAATGTGAAATAATCGTGACAGGTTTCAGAGTAGCAGCCGTGTTAGTCTAAGGTGCCACTAGTACTCCTTTTCTTTTTGCGAATACAGACTAACTGATTTGACCATAAGCTTTCCTGAGCTACAGCTCACTTCATCTGAATGCATCTGATGAAGTGAGCTGTAGCTCAGGAAAGCTTATGCTCAAATAAATTGATTAGTCTCTAAGGTGCCACTAGTACTCATTTTCTTTTTAATAAAGTGACTACATCTTGAACACTGTTGGGAAGATGGATTATTTTAGAACAGAATTTGCATTTCAGGGCTTACTTACAATGTCCAAGTTGAAAGAGCTG